ATCTTGGTCACATGCAGTGCTCTGGAATAGCTGGCAGGCATATTCTTCAAACAATTTATAAACTTATCAAGCACCACATAAAAGGTCAGATCTTTTGCATTTATACCTTCTATTAGAAGGCAGTTCCAAGTCTTTTTTAGTCAATGTGGAAAATTAGGGTCTTCTAATTTCCAGCCTGTGTTAATTCATCACCTGTTTATATCTGCTACACCCGTTGGTGTGTTTATCCCTCACTTGCTTCCCCTATTTGTTCACTTATAGAAGCAGCCATATCCCCATGCTTCTTCAGTTTTGGTAAATCCTGTGTGGTGTTAGGACTGATAGTTCACTAAATCTAAAAATGGACAGATTTAATACTTTCTACGTGGAAGACTTGTTTTTCAGCCACAGATGGTTTAGGCCTTTTTTGATATGAGGAAGACTTGAAAAATTGAAATGCAAGGAAAAAAGGAGACTAAACACCATTCTCAAGTCACTGGAAGTTCTGCACTTGATCAATAGACAGGCCGTATTTCTGCTTCAGAAACATTGGCTTTTAACTCATGTTTTGTTTTTGAAAACTCTGACCTATTATCAGCATGCTTTGAAAGGATTCCAGAGAAGTGATGCTTTTCTTTTCATTCCTTAATGGTCTTATTTTTTCCTGTATTTATCTCAAAACGATTTCCAGAAAGTCTACATGATACAACTGTTTTGTTTGTAACACTAAAAGTGAGGAGAGAGTATATTATGCCCTGATTATAATGTAAATTCTAAACATGAATGGGACAAGTTATTATGTTGAAAATTGACTTGGATAAAAGATTAGGGTTTTGTTCCTATAAAGAACATAGATTTTCAGATCTCAAAAGGGAAAGAATTCTAACCATTTTTATTTTTAAAATATTTCATTTAAAATTATTAAGTAACTATTTCAAATACCAGCAAAATTATCAATTTAGTGCTGTAATTTCTCCGTGTTGCACATTACATGTACAAGGATCTCTCTATAGCTCTACATAATTGACAGTATATATACACATATATGAATACAATGGAGTCTCCTTAAAATTCACGAGTGATGACTTTTGAGTTTATACCCTTTGGTGATTTCATGCAATACATGTTTTAATAAAAAGAAAATTTCTTTACTTGCACAAAAGTGTATGTTGAACATTTCTGAATACAGCCAAGAAACTTCCAGATGAACTTTTAAATAGAATCACTATATGGTTTGCTTTTGTATTGTAAAATTTCCCACTGACTGTGTGTTGTGCTTCAATGTCCAGACCTCCGAGACAGTGCACCTCTTTAGTTTTATTGCAACCATGTTTCTTCAAAGCATTCAGCATTTATTCACATGTGGCATTTCTCTTCATTGAATAAAAATAGCTCAATTTGATGAGTCACAGATGTAAAGTGGTTATTTCCTTACTAAGTTTAAAACCAAATCTGTTCTTAACATCAAATATTATTTTCCATAATTCAGATAACTTATGCAGTGTGCACGAGCATGTTTTCTGAAACTTATAAGAGAATTTTTACAATTAAAAACAGTAGGAGAAAGTGCAGGTTAAAGTAGCAGTCTGTTTTTCCATACCTGTGTTTATATTGTTCTTCAGTCAGTCTGTTTGTATTTTTGTTCATGGCCCTAAACCATTTATTCTTTATAGTTAAGACTATAAAACCAAAACCAGTATAGATTATGACAGGAGACCTCTGAATCCTTCATGAATTTCAGAAAGAGCCTGCACCAATCATGGATGCGTGTGACAAGAATATTTCTTACTAGAGGTTTCTTGAACAAGGGCATTATTTCAAGTCACCTCATTCAGGACATAATAAAAAATTAAGCTTAAATATACTTCACATGCCAAATGTTATCAATGAAATGCTGTCCCTCTGTGTTTCTCCTGGGAAGCCAACTTTATGGCTGTTTCCTGTGCATTCAAGAAATGTCTAGCCTGTCAGCTGATATACATCATACTGGTATACTGGCAATACTGGTGATTTGCATAGATGTATATAGAAAGAAGCTGGTGGGACAAAGGTCTAATTCAACAGATTTTCTGTTTTTCAAATAATTTTCTGTATTAAGTCAGAGTTGGTCATCAATACTCAAGTTTCAGCCATAGGTAACAGTTCTTTGTTCTGCATCTGTAAAGCTTACTGACCTTTGCCTGCAAATGCAGATGTGGCTGCAGGTACCTGCCACTTCCATCATGAGGCTAAGTTTAGGTATCATTTACTTCCCGCCCCCCCCCTCCATAATTTGAGGACCATAAGCATGGTCTTCATAGTAACTGGGTAAAGTGAATTTACCACTGCATTTTATTCCTGAGGAGTTCAAAGCATGACTTCTGATTTAAACAATTAGCTATTAATCCAGTCATGTATTTTCACCTTCTCTCCCCTCTCTCTCAGTAATGCTGTGATCATTGTTATGAAACCTCCTACTAACTTAAGAAGAAGGCTTTTAAGGTTAGGTTTTCTTTGTGAAGAGAAATTCTTCCCCTGGAACCAGTTCCAATCTTTTACCCAACAAGTTTGGTAACCTTCAGAGTATCCTTCAGCAGTAATTTTTCTCTTTAACTTCACAGGCCAGTCAGAGTATACATACAAATCTCATTTTTCAGGCAAAACCATTTTGTGGATTGGTTAGAGATTATTTGTGCAAATGGGGAAAATTATATATTTTTAATTACTGTTAGAACAGACACTGCAAAACAAATCTATATAAACTCTAAATAAAGGGAAAACTAGGACTTACTTAGCTATTGTTATGTAGCATGGAATTATTGAAATGCTGGCCCGTTTAACTGTAATAGAAGTGCTTATGTTTGGTAACTATGGTACTTTGTTTTTGCTGAATAATATAGATTTTTTTTTTAAGAGGAGCCTCCTAAAATAAATTGAAAACCCTTTAGAAATTTTCCAAATAAAATCTCATATTTAGTTGTTGCCAGGAAGCTGATTGACGTACCCGTATTGTGAAATCACACAGAGCTTCTTAGCAAACTTTCTTGAAACAGTTAACTCTTAAAGAAGCAAAAATAAACCTTGTACTTCAATTTTTAATCTCTGAACGCTATTTTTCTTGGTAATTATTCTCTCACCTCATTTGGCTCCTAGCTTTACATTCATCTTAGCAACAGCTTTATTCAGATCATATTCTTTGTCCCAGTAGTCTCCTCCATGAACGTATTACCATGTTCCTGGTCCTGTGGAACTTAGGTCTGTAGGTTTCTGATATGACCTTGCAGCTGAACTGAATTTCACTTATGGGACATACATAAATAAATTGTCCAATTACTGCCATGTCAGTCATGTGCATTTACGTGTGCAAATTTGACTGTGAAGATTGCTGAACAACTCACAACTCATCAACAGTGAATTTCATATTTACAAATATCTGAAGGAGTTTTCTGTCAAAATATTATAGAGCATTAATGTGCATTATTGATACAAAGCTGCACTTGGTTTAGCATAGTGCTTTTACTACACTGGGATGTTAGCTGACCGTATATTCAGAAATAACCTTGCTTTCTGAATCCCCAACTCTTTAAAAAAGAAATTTCTTAAAAACTATATTAAAGTGAGACTTGTAAACCAAACTTCTATTTGAACATAAAGCCAAATAGACAGATAGAAAGTGACATTAGAATTCAAAATTCTAAAAATTAAACTCAAAATCTCAGCATGAAGTTGTACACAATTAAAATCAAATACATGTGGCCAGAGAGGAACAAGGAAAGTTCATCTCCTCCTTGTCTGTCTGTATGGACATGGATGACTGGAACGATCATTTCCTTAAAACTGGTCTTGCAAAACATCTCCCTGGGGACCTGACCATGCATATTGTGAAATGTTTGTCTGTCTCCTGTCAACAGTGTGTCGTCGTATTACGGTGCTGTCTTTGGGGTTTTACATCACATGAGAAAGTACTATACGGTCAGTCTCAGCTTTTTTTGATGTTAGTGAAATCTCGTTTTCTCCATTTTCAGTGTTTGATTGATAGAAAATGATGACTCAGTGTCCTTGTCTGGATGAGGTGCTAAAAGTACAGAGAACCGTTTCATGTGATTGACAATGTAATTGGGCAGAGAAAAAAAAGGGACAGAGAGAGAAAAAGAAACTGAAAGACACCAGAAATCGAGCACAAACTGGACAGAATGAAGCTGACTCTTTTAAAACCAAGCAGTAAACTGTAGAAGGAACAAATTATTTCCCTTTGCATTGTTTTTATCATATGCTCATCTATGGACAATTGTGAAGCTGAATATTGAGTATCCCAGTGTTAAGTATTTGATGTTTCATGCTCTTCACATGAACTGAAGAGCATTGGTGTTTCCTGAGAACCAGTAAGTCCTTAAATTATGGAATAATATATTAATTTCCTTAGGTACTTTCTAGGATGATTTCATATCTCAGTTTCCTTTTTAAAGAAGTCATAATTGTATCCTTCACCAAAATCAGACTAGAGCACTCTTACCAAAATCTAACAAGATGTTTGAAAAAAGTTTCTTTCTGGCCTCAGTTTTTCCACATAGTTGGAAAAGTCCTCAAAATAAATCATGTAAATTGCAGGGGTCTTCCAAGGCCTGGGGCAAAGGTTAAGCTTGTGATATATTAGGCATAATTATAATGTAATGGATCAGGGTCTCTCACCTCTCAAAAGGGACCTGCACTCTCTTATGTTTTGCTGGTCTCTGTCTTTATCCATTGGTAGCAGGGAAAAGAAGCAATATGTCATATAGCAGCCGTAAAATTGTACTGTGAAGAAAAGCTGTATTCTTTTTTTTTTCCATAGAAGAATCTTAATAGTGTTTTAATACAGTTGTAATGATGAATTATCTTCCCAGTCTGACACACTCTTTGTCCTTTTATTTACTTTTATGCGCCTGCCTACTACCTGTCTTCTCCTTTTTCAAAACAGACAATGAAAATACATTTCACTGTGGTATTTCTGGCAACCAGCAGAAGGCATGGCCATTTTACCATGTGTTTTTATGTATCTACAGATGCAGCAGCTTGAGAAACAAGTTATAGATGCTGATCGTCAAGCAGAGAGAGCTTTTCAGCAGGTATATATATAAATTGAAAAATATCTCCACGAGCTATTTGTATGTTACTGTAATGAAGGGAAATTCAGAAAATTGCTATTTTTAAAGTATTGCTCAGAAGGGAGAAGATGGTTTCTTTTTACATCTATTGATTTATCTTACCAGAGATGTTCTCATGTCTTTCTCTGCTCACTATCCAGTTCAGTTCAATAAAGTCAAAACTAACAGCACAAATCCAAAATAGCTTCATGTAATGCGCTTCTTCATTGACGCACCATGAGTCTTTGATATATGATGCACGTGGAAACAAAAAGGGAGAGGAAACAGTGATCTATTTTAGAAAACCTGTGAGAAAATAAAATAAGGCTATCCAATACAGTCTCTAAATAGGATTATTCTGTGTTGGTTGTTGATCTTGTAGAACAACAACAAGAAGAAGAGATTGTGGCTAAATATTTAACCAAAGTTTCCTTTTGATTTCAAATAGCGGATATAGCTACTGCACACATTTTATGAACATCTCTCTGGTATTCCCTAAAAAATCCTTCGTATCTTAATGTGAGACAGATAGAAACTGAGAATTGTAAGAATAAAAAAAAATGTTCACGTACTAATATGGAGTTAGAAAACATCCCAGACTACAAGACAAGTACTTTTTAGCCATTTTTTGTGAATGCTGCTGATAATTTGTTGGGGTTTTTCACACTGTGCAATTGAGTATTTGTTAAAACGTTTATGCAGCCTAAGAGCAGCTCCCTGTACATAAACTGCATTCTTCCCATACTGGTGTCTCTAACAGCTTGTGTGTTACAAACCTAGGGGCCTCTCACTGATACTAACAAAAGCTGTATGAGGCTATCAGTGTTTTGCCAGTCCTATTGGTATTAGATGCACAGGGAAACATAACGAACTGTGGGATTCAGAATCTTGCAGGGTTATCTTGAATCTTAGGTGCGGGGGCAACTTTAACAGTACATTTTGGGATTAAGTTACTACCTTTTAACTTGGAGTGTTATGTTTTTTAAAGTCTTATGTTTGACCTTCCACATAGGTGCAGGTCATGGAAGAAAAATTAAAAGCAGCTAATGTTCAAACAAGTGAATCAGAAACCAGGTTGTATAAGAGATGTCAAGATCTGGAGATCCTGATACAAGATAAAAATGACATCATACAGAAATTGGAGCAACAACTTGAAGAACAGGTTAGAAATAATGGTGTTACAAAAGATGATCATCAATTCCATTCTTGACTGTAAAAAATAAAATTAAAATTAAGATCAACAGAGGACAGAAAATTTTAGCATTATTTCTGTTGTTTGATTGAAGAGGTTCCCATTAGAAGTATATACTTTGAATAAGGTTTATCAACTTGCAAATTGTGTCTTGAATTGAAAGAACACCTAACTTTTAAGAGGGGAAAAATGTTCTTCCTCTTCACTGCTTTCATTTTTTTCTAGAGGAAAGAGGACGAGCATCCTCTGTGAAGGGCCTATTTGTAGGTTTTGGGGTTGGTTTTTTTTAAATCACCATATATTGCCCAGGAAACTAAATTACTTCAACCAGTCTTAGGATTTATATCTGAAGATACTATGCAGACAGACTGTAATACTCAGTGAAAAATATGCATATGTCATTTTTTTTCCAGAAGCAAATAAGAATGCAAGAAGCAAAAATCATAGAAGAAAAAGCAGCTAAAATAAAAGAATGGGTGACAGTCAAGCTCCATGAGGTATCCCTCTTGCTACAATACTTATACATAAAATACAGTGGTGTGACTGGATATCACTTAGGCTTTTTGGCTATTAAAGGGCTTTGTGTAAAAAGGTAGTAAAAATAATGCTTTCTAGTTTCATTGATCTGTACAAGTTACTTGCTTGAAAGAGGAAACGTGAAAACAGCACAGAGGGCAGAGTATCTGTGTCACTTAAATCCTGACATCTACTTTTGTCAGCTGGTGTATCTGGGTCCTCTTTGTGGAGAAAGGGCCCAGAAGAACTCTCTGGAAGGTGTACTTGTCTCCACTAATTGAGAGAGATTAGCCAGCAAACCGAGCTTGCTCAAGCAGATGCCTAAAGTGTGAATAATCCCCAGAAAGCTGACCAAGTCTGCCAGGGCCTGTCAGAAAAAAGGACTTGATAATATTTTATTTTCCAGTGCCCACAGTACTCTTAGTCATGAATAGTTTCAGGGGGACTGTCTCTACTCCAAGAAGAGACCAGTTGTCTCCCTTAACTGTGGCTTTGCCCTGCCTAAGGCTGCCAGTTTTGGTGGGCAGCTGTGCTTTCTCCTCCTTGTGTGAACAGAATTTGAAGTTACTCCTAAAAGTTAAAATCCTACTCTGTTGTGGTTAACTGGAAATTGTACTCACTCCAGTTGAAAAACAATTAAATTATTATTTTTAAAGTAGGAAACAAGAAGTAACATTTCGTATCAGTCTGCAAGGGGAGTTTTTGAAATAATTTAATAAAAATGCAATTTAGATTAGCTAAATTTATCTTGATAAAGTTTGGACAGAAGCAACTATGACTCAAACTATTTACATAGTTTGAAACATGGAGAATGTCAAGCTAAGAGGTGGCGAGGTGTCACCCAATGGGAAGTAAAATTGCTGGCTCCCCTCTGTGTGATACAGGATACTCAGATTCAAGTATTTCCTTTGCCTAATTTGGAGCAGGAGTTTGAACCAACACCTTTTACCTCTTGGTAGTGAGCTACAGCGATGGGTTGCTGGATTTTTTTCTTCCCATAGAAAGTCTTTGCTCTGAATAAGTATTTTCAGTGCAGTATTTTTTTTAATCTTTGCTGTGGAATGGTAAGGAGGCATTAGCACCATCATTCCCTCTGATTCCTCTGCCTGCTCTCGGGTTTGCCAAGTGTGGCACAAAAATCTGTAATTCTAGCCCTCAGCTTTTTTAAAAAATGCCTATGGAGATCTCTTTTTTCTTCATTATTAAGTCTTGGGTTTGCTTGGTTTGGGGAATGATTTTAACAGAAGTTGAGACAATAATAGTTGCAGGGAATTTCACTGTTCAGAATAAACAAATGCCTAGACTGCCATTAAGAGAAGCAGGAGAGAGGAGCTTGCTGTTTGAACTAGTTTTATCCTTAGATAGGCAGAAATGCAGAGAAAATATAAATGATACAATGACTTTAAAAATTGTTTCACCAACGGATGAGATTACATTTATATGCTTTTAGTTAGAGGTGGAAAATCAGAACCTTCGCTTGATCAACCAAAAGCAAACCAAAGAGATGAAAACAGTACAATCTAAACTGCAAGGTAAATGTGCAAATCTTTAAAAAACTTCTCTGTATATGGCATACTTCTTTCTATTCCGTATTAATTTTTGCATCCATGTAATTGAAAGATTCTGTGAAATCACGAAGATTTCAGTGAGTATGAATTGACATCAGAGTGTCTGTATATTAAGGTGCTGGGCGAGCAGTAATTTAATTTTTATTAACAAGACACACAGACAAACCACAATTGGGATTTTTTTGGCTGAACCGGTATCTCTGTTATGTAAGAAGTTCTGCAAGTAGTAAGATTTGACTGGGTTTATGTCAAATCTTTACTTCTTTCTAGCACAGGTAGTCTTAGCATTGTTAAGGAATAGATGAATGTCCATCTGCATCTGCTTTTTCTAGCAAATGCTCAGCTGGGAATCAGAACTCTGATCAGATTTTTTAAAATTATTACATTTGACTACAGTGATCCAAAACCTTAATTCAGCCACAGTATCACCAGGTTTTTCTCCAAGTGGATATAGTTAATTTAAAAATCGTAAAATGTAAATATGGGAAAGAGGAATATCCCCACCACAGAGCATTATTTTGCATTAATCAAAGATGAATTTTATTTGCCACCTTGTTGCCTGTTCACCAACTTTCTTAAGTCTCTCTGAAGGTTCCCACAGCCCTCTCCACACTTGGCTGACCTGACAACTTACTATCACCTGAAAATCTTGTTAGTTTGCTACCTAGCCGTCATTTCTTGATAATGTATCTCATGTATATATGCACACACAGACATTTAGAAATGTGTGTATATGCATAAAATACATGTGTATATACACGTAATATGCATAATATATGAAAATATAAATATTTACAAAATACATGGGCAATATGAAGCTTTTAAATTAAGATGCACCTTTCTGTTAATAAGGAAACTGGATTGTTTTGTTCCTTTCCTATTTTTTGATCAGTAGCAATATTATGTACTTCAGCACTTAACAGCTTTACTCATCCTCTTACGAGTGATCTATTCAGAGGCTTCTTGAGACGCTAAGAATTTGTCAGCTGGTCGTCAACACACATTTACTGATATGCCTAAAAATATGAAGAAATTTATTACCATTGGCAGTGTCCATGCTGGTAACAGGCTATAAATTGTAATCATGTGGTAAAGAGTTTACAGGTATGGATAAGGGCCTTTTGTTCCTGGATCTGCCACAGAATATTTTATAAACAGGGATGGACAGCATCGTTTCGTATCAGTTTCTGTCCCTAGGGACAAATTTCATATTCACTTGGCAGTTAATCATTTTATGCTTTCACCTTCTCTTGAAATCCTCCGTATGATTCTATATATACCTTTTAAGCCTGGTAACTAACTTCCTTGTATTTGCTGTTTATTTTTATATGGAGGGAAGAATGCCACGTATTTTAATACTATTGTTCTACAGTCTTTCCCATATTATATATCCTAGACCAATCCATGGTTTAATTTCAGTCACAGCAGAATAAAATCAGGTATTTCCACTAGGTTTTCATTCTGTATTAAATGCATGTTTTATATCTTATTGATGTGTAATTGTTAAAAGGTGGTTTTTTTCCTTTCTATACTAAAAAAATCAATCTTTAAGAACTGGAATTGTAGCTCTGGGTTTCTTTTGATATGGGGAGGTAGATGGGTAGATTTTCATTCCTGTAGTAATTTCTTTATTATAATTTTGCTGAATTTTAGTTATCTTACAAAAAAACCCAAACAACTTTACACTGCAGATGAAAGAGACCAATAGCATAGCTTGCTGTATCTCATTAACACAAGATTTCTGAATTACTGTTCTTCAGAAGCTACAGGCAAGAAATCTGTTACTTCAGCACAAAAACCTGGAGAGTGCCAGCGACTAAGCAGTTTGACTTTTGGATGCTTTTCTAATAGAGCAAGAAGTCCTCAACCATCTCCTAAGTTGGAAGAATTAAGCAAGTCTTCATCTAAAGAGTCAGACTACACTGAAGGCAAAAACATGCTAGGTACCTACTTACCAATACTGCCATTTTATTCTACACAGGTGGAAAACTAAAATTGACAACTATGTTGGTGTATCCAGACCAGCTGTTTTCAAAGTTCATAGCAGAACTCCTTCTCTCTCTTTAATGCTAGCCTCTATTACTAGGAAGAAATCCCATTGAGCACTGAGTCTCCATACTACTGCTAATACACTGTTTGGCAGCGTGCAGTGGCTGATGGGTGCTTTGGCTGCAGAGGAGAATTTGTTGTGACCCAGGTTTGCTCCACAGTAGTGTAACGAGTTTAAGGCTGCCAGTCCCCCAGGGAGGGCTGTTACATTTTTCTGCTTGTGTAGAGTCTCACCGAAGTTCAGTTTCTGTAGATTTTATCTATGCTATCACTGGTGTCACAGTGTTAGTTTTATGCCCTAACTCAACAAGATCAACTCATTAATCTTTCATTAATATAATCAAGGTCAGAAAAAAATAGGAGAGAGTCTCAGGAATCTTTTTGTATCGTTTCCTATTTGAAGAAGAAGAAAACTCCCTGATCAGTTCATACGACTTCCTCAACAAGCCCTGAAGCCTAGTAACGCCAGCAAATTGGTGTGCTCTTACACTATTATAAGCATAAGCAAGGCTATTGCAGTTTGCTATTTCACTTAGCAGTGAAAAGCTCTAGAAGGAGACTGTTGCTCTGGTCCTTTGTTTGAGTCCCACAGTACTATTTATGAGCTCAGCATTTTCTCCACAGTTAATCATGGTACCCAAAATTGCAAGTTGAGTTCTGTAGAAAATCATAAACTGAAATAGATCCTATTCGTATTTTGTATATTTATATGACACCAAGTTCATTATAAAGGTGGGTACGTGCTATTAATTTCATTTTTATAGATAAGGAAATTGAAGTAAGGATCCTTTTGTGGTTTTTTTTTTCAAGGAAAAGGATAAGAAATAGAACCTTAAGCTTGCCCAGATGGAAACAGATCAACTTTTGTGACTTCATTACTTTAACGTGGACTAAATTAAACTCTTTGGCTTATCCAATCCACTTTAACATCATACAGCTATTTAAGTTTAACTTCCCCAAGTGTCTGTGTAGAAAAGCCCTAGTACTTGCATCTGTTTTAACTCAGGGAGCACATAGGCCTCACTGACATGCTGCAAGCTACTGCTCTCTTGCAAAACCAGGTAAAAGTGAACAGCAGAAGCAAAAATGTTTTTAATACAGCATCTTTCCCTAACCATTTTCATGATCCTCTCTTGTGTATGTTAAACATTCGCCACTGGGAATACAATAATAGCTTGAAGAAGAAATTTCTGTGTATAAACACTATAAAAATGCTCAGAATACTTGATTTGTTCATGTAAATATTTTCTTTCTTTCAGTTTTTCTTAGATTTCATAAAGTAGCTAAATTTATATGCCCTTTTAAGTCTTTGGCTTTGGGTGGGAGGTGTGCGTTTGTTTGTTTTCATACATATGTGGTTTACTTTAAAATATGGCTCCACTGTGCTCATCCGTACATTTATTGCCATTTTTAGTTTGTCTGGAACTTTGGGTAATATCTGTTACAGTTTTTTGGCAAAAATCATTGCAACTTCAGTTGCATGAAAAAATGTATAATATTTTTCTTAAGGTTTATTATTTAAATTTTTAAAATGTGCTTATGCATTTTAAATTATTACCTACTTAATGTTTGCAGGCATGATGACAAAATCCTTTGGCAGTCAAGTTTGCTAAAGTAATTTTCTCATGTTCATTATATTTCTCCTCCAGAGAAGGATATCCTGGAAACCACCTTTGCTGGTACTGCACAGGAGAGCAATAAAGGACAGAAGTCCTTGCAACAAAGTTCCCCTGGGTCAGAGCAGACCAAAAATGTGAGAAGGAGCTGTTCATCCAAAGACATAGACAGCGACTTGTCAAAGAACTCCGGCACAACAGGGAGTGACTGGAGCTCAGATGAGGATGGAGGTGACAATAAGGGACTGAAATCCAGGTGTGCATCCACTCTCTCGAGCCACACATCCGAAGAGAATGCAAGATACAGTAGAGTGGGAAGTGAAATGTATTTGACAGCATCTGATGACAGTAGCTCTCTATTTGAAGAAGAGAGTTTTGGTGTTCAGAGGACTCAGCACAAGAAGTTATACTCCTGGCAGCAAGGGTCCCAAAGAAAAGGCCAGAACAATCCAGGTGGAAAGAGCAACTCTGACTTCACGAGTAAAAAGAAAGACCAAGATAGTTCTTCAGATGAGCTGAGTAAGAAATTTCAGTCTCAAAGGCTAGATTATTCATCTTCATCCAGTGAGGCAAATACCCCAAGTCCAATTTTAACCCCTGCTCTGACACCCAAACACCCAACTTCTGCAACGTCTGCAGGTTCTCAATGCACAGCAATATCAGATTCTCCCTCAAATTTGCCTCCAACGTTGCGGACTCCTAATGTGTTTAGTATAAATTCAGCACTAGCAAAAAAACATCTAAGCCAGCCCCAGCTGAGTTCTGACAGAATGTTTGGTAGAAATAGAAATGCCATAAGCATGATACGTCCTTGGAGACCACAGGAAACAGATATTGATCTGGTGGATGGAGAAGATACTGGTATTTTAGAGAAAATGGAGATTGGCTGTGATGAAGGAGTGTTTACCTATGACTGCACTGAAGCCCAGGAACCTTGTGATGCGACAAAAAAGGGTGCTAGCAACAAACCTCCAACCCCTCCATTACATCGATTTCCTTCCTGGGTAAGTGTAATTATAGATATTTTTTCTACTGATGAAACTAGCTCACGTTCATTCCTCTTTTCTGTTATTTTGTTGCCTCTACCTTTCTTATTCTCTGATGACAAGACAGAGCGTTACCTCAATTTGAACTTAAGAGGACAAACTCAGAAGCAATTTTGATTTGAAGCACAGTATTTCTGCTTTTGAAAAACATAGTCACGATTTTTGTAGATAAGCCCCATTTTTTCATGTCACATCTGAGTTATATATTTCCTTTTGAGTGTATCAAAAGAGGTAGTGCTCGTGTCTGCGTTTATTTACTTAACACCAACAGAGCCTAAGAGTGCTGGTGTCAATGCCTTCGCTATAACCATTGTACCCCTCACAATCTGGGCAATTAAGTCAACAGAAGACAACTACAGATTACGGAAGTTACTGATCACATTTCCAAGTAAAACTGTAAAGCCATCAATCAGGGAATTAAAATAGATATTAATATGTCTAGCACAAAATCCAAAATTAACCATGTCAAGACTCACTGAACTGCAGTTCCACAGTCAAAGATTTATCAATGATTCAGAGATGAATAATGCATTAATGTAACAGCTTCTCTATGTATAGATTTTAGTGCATACTTTTTCATGATTCATTTTCTTATTGTGGCCTTTTAACACAAAACAGTTGAAAATTTGCTTCCTAATGGCATTTCTTTGTTCACAACATACAATCTTCCTTTAAAAAATATTCTCACTAGACCTTCTGTGGCCTCTGATGATAGTATTTTTAAAAACAAGTTACCTACAGGGCAAGCATTGTGTGAAAAAAGGTTGAAATGGATTATGGATATGATGGGTATGGCATATAAAACGAGTTTGCACTTTTCTGCTGCTACTGACAATGCCATTTTATCAACCATTTTATGACATTGTTGCACTAACAGAGAGACTAAGAGGCTATGGGGAGGCTAAACAGAAGTAAAGTAATGGTTGTGTTTTCATTATTTACCATCAAATCTATTCTGCTTGTATAGGAAAGCAGAATTTATGCTGTAGCCAAATCTGGTTTAAGGATGTCTGAAGCTTTCACCATGGAGTCTCTTAACAGAAGTAAGTGGTTTAGCTGTTCATTGTCACGTCAACAAAAATTCTCTTTTTTATGGTGAATTGCAAGGAAGGACCAAATGTCCCATGTTCCTTTAAGGTATTTTATGAAGATTCAGTTACGTGCTATTTAAAACCTAGAAGATCATTGGTTATCTTTCCACTGTCTTCTGTTATCTTGCCTCTTGACTCTGTGCTGAATTTGTACTTTGTTCACTCCAGTTTTCTTTGCAATTTTGTTTCGGAGATTCTATATTGGGTACCAAGGTAAAAGATTATACTTCCAATTTCAAAAGGGTTAGTGGTCATGACTAGAATTTATTTATACTCCTTAAACCAACTGAAATGTTAAAAAGCTATAAATGTCACATCCAAAAGATTTCAGGAGTTAGTTTGCTTCTTATAGCAGTTATACAATGCAAAAAATTACTCTTAAATTTGGATAATTGAAGGGTAAATTAGGAAAGTCATTTATACAATGTGTTGCTCTTTTAGGTGCTGTTTCACTACCTTCATACTCCATATCTGGCTTATATACATCTCTGATATATAAGAACATGACCACTCCTGTCTACACCACTTTGAAAGGGGTAACTGTATTACTGTTTAAAGGAAATTTTTAAATACCATTAAGCCTCACATCCAGGAACTTGCTGTTTCGCATTTGATGCTACCATGCCAAATAAGTCATAAGATGATGTTTAGAGATCACAGAACCCCAGAAGTAATGGAAATGCCAAATAGCTGGAAAAAAATTATTGCTGCTTATAAAATGTTACCAGCCCAGGTCAGTGCTTCTGAGGTCCCTTGCTGATTTTTTTTCCAAAGGCTTGTTAATTATTAAACAGCCACATGGCGTTCAATGCCATAATTAAAAGTGTGTGTATGTGTAGAAATGTCTTTGTGTCAGAGCCAAAGCTGTTTCTAGTCAGATAGCCAGCAGTAAGTAATCACTGCATTGTTTTCTGGCAGCTTTTTGTGATTTGGAAAGACCCATGCCTTGAGCTACCTCAGGTTTCTGTTTTGAAGTGTGGGGGTGGTTGAGGATACAGAGGGCAGAGGGAATGCAGTTTTATGTTAATATTTGTGTGCCAAAACTCACAACCCAAGTAAGAACAACTTTGAATGTTAAGAAGCCAGCAGAGCTCTGCTACAGTATGAAGGCAATGACTGATTCCCTTTATGCAAGGTATCAAAGAATGCTGTGTTAATTTCTGCAGAAAGCAACTCAAATAAGCAACAGCCCATTTATAGATGAGTCTTCGGGGTCAGAGGAAGAAGACAGCTCTCGGTCCAGCTCAAGGACTTCTGAGTCTGATTCTCGAAGCAGAAGTGGTCCAAGTAGTCCTCGGGCTATGAAACGAGGTAGGCAAAAACTGTAAGAATGAGGAACTTCTGGGAAGTTTTGAAAACTGCACATTTTACATGATCTTTTTATAGAAATGGATTTCTTCTTTAAACAGCATAGACATCTTAAATCTATGCTTTTTATGTCAGCTATCAAAACCTAGATCAAGCAGGAGAAAGGACTGTTACACATGGCTTTTTATTGCTGTTTTTATAAATGTTTTTTTAAGGCATTAATCTAGTAGCTGGCTGTTGTCATGAGGGAAAAGTGACTTGTACATTTAAAGCAAGAAGCTCCATTTGATCTATACTCTGTCATGCCAAGGATTTCCTATGACCTTTAACCATAGGTAGGTAAAAATGGCCTAGAAAAAAAGTAATTGCCATCAGAAAAATCTCTTGCATATATTCAAGTTCATAAAACAAAGTAACAGTTTAATGTGATCAGAAAGCAGGTGGAAAGGAAGTCTTAGAAGGAAGGAAGACTTAGGAAGTCAAGGAAGGGAGCCAGGAGA